CCCCCGACAGCTCCGCCTGTTGCAACTATCACAGCCTGGGCTGGATGGGTGAAAAAAGCGGGATTTTTTGGACCCCGGAGCCATGTTGGTGTTTGGGGCTTTCCCGGTGGTGCAGGGAAGGGATTTGGGCTTTTAAAAAATCCTGGCTTATGTCACGTCAGGGAAGCGGAAAGTGAAAATAGTGATTTTTCAGATGGGGGGGAAAAAAAAAAAAATCGTCTGGGTCCATCCTATGGGAAAGGTGTAGCAGCTTTTCCCTGGGCTTTAAGATGTAAATGAAAACTTTATGTAGAGTTTTTTTCCAAAATCTGTAAGTGATCGAGCGGGGGAAAACTGACACTGAGGCCTGAGCAGCTCAACTAGAAAAAATGAGCCTGTTTGGATGTAAAAACCTAGGAACGGCCAAAGTCAGTCACTGCAAGGAAATAACGGTTTTCGTAGGGGAAATCGGGGAATCATAATGACACGTGAGTTGGTGTGGGCGACTGCAGGAAAACTGTGAAAAAAAAGGGTGAATGCAAGATGCGTAGGGAGGGAGGAGAGTGGTTTTCACATCCAGGCGCGGCATTGGCACGGCTGGTACTGAAGTACGGCATCGAGGTCTGGTATCCGCTTTTTTTCTCCCGTATAATTAAAAACCTGATATTGGAAAACAGCAGAGGATCCGAGGTCTGGAAGCAGAGCCTTGCAGTCAGGAGCTGGACTCGATTAGAACACCGTAACAAGAAGTAGGGGGTGATTTCGTTACACTGTGTGGGGGCTTTGCCAGACCCGCGCCGGGGGACGTTGCTGTGGCAGTTTAAGGTGTTGCGGTCACTGGTCATCGTGCAGGAAAGTCAATAAATGCCTGCGTGCCAGGCCTGACGCCGCAGCTGGGATCGCTGCGGAGGCTGGGTTTGAGGCACGACCCCGGGCTGAGGCTGGGTGCCCACCGCCGATCCTGGCCTCTGCTTTCTGCCACGTAGCTGGTACCTTCCGCTTGAGCAAGTTTAAGCTTTAACAACTTAACAATAGCTTAGCAAACCTGAGTGGGGGACTGATCTGGCGGGGGGAGGACAAATTTTAAAAGAAGTTGTTTTTCAGCTGGGTGAGTTCCCTCAGCCACAGCAGCGTGCGGCTGTAAATCAGACGGGCGAGTGCGGCGCAGAAGCGGGTGGTGCGGACTGGGGGGACGCAGGAGTCCCTAGGCCAACTTCTCTGTCCCTGCAGGAAGAAAAGGGACGGTAGTGGAGCAGCTCCGTAGCGGAGGCGTGGCGGGACTCTGCAGGTAGAAGCCAAGGACAGACAAATACAAGTCAGACACAAGAGATGCCCGTTAGAAAAGAGAAAGGGCAGCTCCGCAGCCCCGGGGCTGCTCAGGCAGCCTGCCAGGCCCCACGTCCCTGCCTCCCGCTGCTGCTGCCTACCCGCTCCAGCCGGATCAGCACAGCCTTGCTGTTGGTCCGGTCAGAGAACTCATCCAGGCTCCTTTTTATTTTTTCCTGATTATTTTTAACCTGGGCAGTTCCCCGGTCTGGTTCCCAGCCGAGGTCAGAAGGCTTTCCTGCACAGCCAAGGATCGGTGCTCCCTGTCACAGGAGTGACTTCGAGGGGCAAAAGCGGTGCAGAAATGCTGAAATCATTGAACCGTACTTTGAGAAGGATCAAACAGTGGGACAAACTGTCGAAGCAGGGGGCGGACTCTATCCCAGGGACTTTCTGTGAAGCCCGAGAGCTTTTTTGTGCTATGTACCAACTCAGACATACCTCATTGCTTTCCGTGCAATGACAAGTGGCTGGACTCTCATACATAGCGTACGCTCAGCTTACATGAGCTCTTCTAGCTTGAATTTGCATGAACCTGATGACTGTAGTAATGAAATCTTTCATTTAAGTTGGCAGCCAGTGGCGATCCAGCTCTCAGGTGGATCCTGTGTTTTTCCAGCTCTGTGTTCACCCTGCCAACCTCTTAACCTCTGTAGAACTGAAGCAGAGGAAGATTCCTCTGGCGATGGGGGTTTTCTGTAACCGAGTTGTCTGAGATTTCTGGAGCTGCATAGGCTAGCCATATTTCTCCAGCAGCAGTGCAAAACTTTCCAAGGTACGGAGGTTTCCCTGTGCTGGTGCAAAGGCGGTGATGTACAAGATGTTCTCTGAACAAGTGTAGGTGAAGTGTTTCCAGGCAGCGGCGACTGTTTCCTCTCTGGTGGCTACCGAGTTATAGTGAACAGGGAGCACTTTGGAAACGTTCTTTGGGGAAATGTTACTAAGGAAACTAACTGAGTTTTTAAAAATGTAAACATATAGCTCAGGCAGAGAGTTTCGTAGCCAAGCGTGAACTCTGTTGTTGACCTTCCGCTGCTACCGTGTTTCACTGATACCGTGCCGGACCCTCATCTTGTTTTCCCCCTCTTACTCCGCAGCTGTCAGTGTCCTACCACATGCATTTAGACTTAGAAATAGACCCAAATAGGTAGAGTCCTTTTTCTTGCTAGAACCTTAACGTTTTAAAGGACAGTTGATGAAATTTTACAATAATCAATTACAGAAGTTATCATGTCTTAACTCATTTGTATTTGGGTTTCTGCTCTGAAGGCGATAGATAGTTTATGCACCTTGCTATGAAAGACAGCAAAATTCAAACTCTGTCTTCTTTCAGGTAGCTTTGAAACTGGCACAGATGGCTGAGCTTGTTCAGAGGGAAAGAAGCAACCACCTGGCGAAAGTGGCAGAGGCTCCCGGAACGTGTGCACAGCTCTGAAGCAGGAGGTAGAGAACATTTATCTTTTCCGGCACACCTCTCGTACAGAGGCGAAATATTCATGGTCTTAGACACCTCCAAAGGAAGGCTGCG